TTCGAGTAGAGGTTATCATTGTTTATACTCAAATCTCTAACGTTTTTCTTATAGTTGATTTGTTTTAATTAATAGCAGTATGAAATATTTATTTTTGTTTTATTATGAAACATAATAATTATAGATTTTTTTTTATTTACTGAATATTAATACATTCTGTCACATTAAAGAGCATTAATATTAATGCTACATTAATCATTCACACAATATGTACATACAAATAATAACTAAGATAGAGATAATAAAGAAAAAGAAATATAGAAAAATAAAATAAGTAAATTAATATGCATGTGTACAAAAAATGAAATAATAGATAAAAGCTAAATGAACTTAAAGTAAATAAAACACATTTACACTTATATACAATATTTACATTCACCCGGGGACTCTGAGCCATGCTTTGTCTCCCGATGTGGAAGCCAAGGCAGGACTCCAGATGATCCCAGTGCTTCTCTCCCAGCCGCGTTACTGATATTAGAAACCAGTGGAAACTGACGTAGGGCATTACAGACAGTCAGAACCTGATTAGAGAATCTGGCCATTGCCAGAACTCCAATATATAAATATTTACAGAAGGTCGATGGGCCATTGCCGTTTAACCTCCGGGGGGGGGGGGATTGTAGGGATGGCTGGAGCTAGATAGGGATAGTGCTATAGGATTGCTGAGGTTCTGGTGAAATTTAGAAAATATGTCTGGTATTAGGTCAAATACAAATGGGATATGAATTTCATTATGGAGGGTTTTATTGGATACATAGAAGGGAGGACTTTAGACTGGAAGAATTGAATGCGTTTGATTTTAGAAAAGTTTTGCTGATCTCCACAGTTCTATTCCGTAGGTCCAAATAGGTTTCAGGATCGTCTTGTAGATTAGCAGTTTATTGTAGACTGAATAATTATAGCTAGAAAAAAAAATCCGAATCTTATAACTGTTGTTACAACTACTAATTATTACCGAGTTTTAGTGATTTTTTATTTAGAAAATAAGGAATAAAGATATCGTGAAGGGATTGAGGACCATGTGAAAAACGTTCGAAACGGCCTTATTCAATTCGCTACACGGATTAAATAAGAAATCAAGAAGAATCCTTAAGTAATCACTCATTTTCTTTGATATGAAACTGAACATTTTCAGTAATCAAAAGGGAATTCACGAATGCATAAAGGAATAAAGGACTTATCGAAATCGAAGATGCCAAGATAAAATTCTTTCTTCAATAGGACTCTTAAAATCCTATAGAGCGTTTGAAAAAGGACGGCGCTATTGCAGCAAGCTCGTACTTCGAGAATACATCATTCAGTGTTCTGAAGCACAGGCAGATCTATGGGGGGGGGATGGGCTTTCGGGCTGAAGTCCTCCCAAAATGATAAAATATAACCACGTTTTACAGAAAAAAATATTAAAAACTATCTCTTAAAGTATTCTTATTCGTTTAATTACATTTAATAGGTCTTCAAGAACCACTTAAACACCATTTCATATAAGTAGTTTATGTCTTTTTTTCTAATTAATTATTTTTATATTTATATGAAAGAAAAATCTTTCGGGGTGAAGCCCCCCAAAATTAAATCCTGGATCCACTACTGTTCTGAAGGTACACACTACGTAAATATTGGCCAATGAATGGAAGCGAAAGGCTTAATTAAACAATTTTAATCAGAGCCAACGGACAGTTTGCCATAAATTGAGGTCCGTTTTTCTGACCGTGTGTTTCATAGTTGGTATTAAGCTGATTACAAGAGAATAATTTTTTTTGTTCAAATTTTCTGTCGTGATTTAACTTTCTATTGATTTTTTCTTAAAGCAATGGATTACTTGTTTATTGATAAATATTACAATCTGTGTCAATAAAGGACTTCTATAATAGATTTCAGAGAGCACATTCACACCATATTTACAAAATAAAAAAATAAATAAGGTAATTTCAAAATTTATATACAGCAAAATAATGTTTACTGATTTAAAATTAAATAAATTATATTTGTTTTAATTTGTTAACATTTTCCCTCTATTATTATATATTGACTAAAGAAAACAGAAAACAAGGATCAGTTATGATGATAGTATTTTATGAACAAATTTATGGAAAGAACATCCCAATTACATATAAAAATATGAAATATTAATATATTGTTATTTTAAGTATTTTACTTAAAATACCTAGCTACTTCAACAAAACTGTTTGAAACTGATCAAAACATTAAGAAAAAAAAAAAAGGAAAAAAGAAACCTAAGTTTTCTACCAGTTTACCTACCTGCTCTTGCTGGGAAGCCTCTCTAAGGTTAGAGCAACATGGTATATATATATATATTTATATTGGTATATACATACAAACAATTGGTGTAAAATTGGCTGATAATAAATGAACTTGAAAATGAATATTATGCACCGAAGAAGAAGAGAGAAATATTGAGAAAAACATAATACTTGTTTGATAGTCTCAATAAAATGTAATATTTTAAGTGATAAGAAACTATTCCATAAATATATACTCTGAAATTGTTTTTTTGTTGTTTTCATATGGTGGTATAAATTAAAAGAATATCTTAATATCCTAGCAACTAATTTTCTTAAAAAAAACATAAAGCTAAATTTATTTTCAAGTCCATTTATTACCCGCTAATTTTACGCCAAAAAAATTGGTGTAAAATTGGCTGAAAATAAATGAAGTTGAAAATATTATGTTTTTGTTTCTAAAATGATTTGATGCTTTATGAAATAAAGTAATATTACATGCATCAAATAATTCAGTACAACATACATATTTTTTATTCATTTGTACTTTGTCATTTTTATTATTATTATTATTTTTGTTATTTTTATTCATTTGAGCTTTATCATATATTAGTTGTAGAAATGTATAATTTTCTTATTGATCAGACATACTAACTAGATTTGGGAACAAATTGTTTTATTGAATTATATAATAATTTTTAGGCAGAATAAGTGTTTTTTTTATTATCAATACAGCATCTCTCTTTTTTTTTTCTCAAGTTTATGTTTTTATCACACACTGTTTTTTTTAAGTGCATTAAAAAATGAACATAGTAAAGAAGAATAAGGGGAAATTTTATGATGGAATAACAAAACTTCTAATAAAATTATAATGTAATTATTAATAAATAAAATTGTAAAATCATACAAAAGAATCTTTCACTCATAAACATAATAATCTGTTTACTTATTGAATTTTTCTTTACTCTATAGGGTATTCGGCAATACTTTCCAATTTGAATACCATTGAGCAATCAGTGCTTAATTAGTCTTTGAATATTTCTACTTGAGTTTTATCAACTACATGTTGAAGAGTGTCTTTACTGTAACAACAACTAGTCAACTAATGCTTATTTATGTTTTTTGTATTTTTATAAAATTTCATATTCTGCTCTTCACTGATTTCTAAAGTTTTATTGAGAGTACTCCTCCATGCCAATAAAAAAATATAAATATTTTAAAGTATATGTTTCTTCACAATTCAGCTTTGAATGAAGTAAGGAAACGTTTTTGAAAAGTTTTCCAAATTATATTTATATTGTGTCCTAGAAATGTAAGGGGTATATTCTTGAAAATCCTTTTTCAATTTTAATAATTTTTTCATGGAACAAAAAATGATACAAATGCATGTAAATATTAAGACTTATGAAAATCCTCCACCTTTGTTAATTTTATAAATTAAACAAAATAAATAAATAACAGTTTACATACTTGGCAATAATGTACTAAAAAAAAAAAAAAAAAAAAAAAAAGAAATCCTAACATGTAATAAATCAAAAGAGATACTAGGATAGTAGCATTTAAAAATATTGAATGTTATACATTATCTTTTCATTCTAACTCTTACCCAAATTGGCCTCATTGCAGTTTACATTTTAAGTCCTAGGGAGAAAAAAAAAGATATCAACTCCAACAATGAGGCTAAAAAAAAGAATGAAATTTGATAATAAGGGCACTGATTGGTTACTCAGATGTAAAGATAGTTGTTGATATGAATTCCACATAATCTAAAGACCTATTTAATTACTGGTAATAAACAAGATACAGACTAATTCAATAAATATAAAGATAAATAATGAAAATATCGGTGATTATTTATTGAGTATTACTTATTTCATTTTTAAAAATTATAACAAGCTTAATAATATATAGTATAGATTGATTTAAATATATTTTTTTCATGTGATAGTACTCATTAATACATAAACTGCCGGAATCAACTTGATTTATGTAAGTTCATTAAAAAATTAAGTAGATTAATTTTAATAAAAATTAGTAATTGACTTTGGAGAAATTGAAATCATGAATTCATTGAATTTAAACATCATAAAAATGAATAATACAAAGGCACAAAAAGAAAGCGTTAGTTTTTTTTAAACTCTTATTATAATACATCAACTTATTTATATTGTAAGGCTAAAACTAATATATAATGTTAAAAGTGATCTAAAAAGTATTTTCTGGCATTCTTTTTAAACAATTTGGTTGCAATTTGGTTTAATACATCAAATCTGACTTTCTATATGCCTATATTTGTATTTGCGGGACTTGTTACTATGATATTTCAAACCTTTAACAACCTTTTCTTTAAATCAAATGGGCAAAGCGGTATAGATATCATGAAGAAGAATAAGTCTCTATTCAGTCCAATTTTATATATACATAAAACACTGAGAAAACAGCGAAGTTATTACATTTATTTTTTGTGGTTTTAAGTCAGTTAATATTTCTACTTACAGTCTATGAACTTCATTTGATGACACAATCAGAAATAAAAATTAAAAGGAAAGATAAACACAAAATTTAAAATAAAATGATATAATAATATTTATTGAAAAAACATAATTACATTTTTTATTCCATTTTAATTGGCCATGCAATATGACTATCACAAAGAGGAGTATACTTCATTCATTGCAGTAGTCACAATAAGAAAAAAAACATAACCTTAAATTATATATATGAAGGGATCAGGACTTCTGCAAATTCCAGCTCATTTGGAGGCTCTTCCAAGTCTAGAGAATCGGGATCCTTTGACATGACAGAGGCATCTCTAGTTATTGCAATCTTATACATATCTTATATACATATATTTTACGGACTATCTACAGAGTACAGAATATTTTCTCATGGAGAACTTTCAATGATATCCTGAAAGTCAGGAAATACAAGGATATTTGAATTACTGATGTTCGTTATTGTTGACACAGGGTCATCCTGAGATTTCTGAATATTTGGAGTGCCTTCTGGGTAAACAGGAACATTTTGAATTGTATTGTTATTTTGGAATGGAGGACTAACTGCAGGTGTCTGGAAATTTGAAAATATAGTTTCCTCAAGATAATCAGTGATATCTTTGGGTGTTATCATATCTGAAGTTATATGACTATCTGAAGGATCCAGAATATTGACAGGTACCTCGCTCTCTGGAAGCATTTGAAAATCCTGATATGCTGTGTCATCTGGGTTTAAAGGGTTGTTAGGAGGTTCCTCGTGATCTGAAGTCAGAATAACATCGGCAGGGGTCTGGAAATATGGAGTTCCAATACAATCTTCTATCAACTGTATTAAAGAATCAGAACTTTTCGCATCAGCAGATTGTGAGCTACCTGATGGATCCTGGATCTCTGAAAATGTTGCGTATTCTTCATTAGCTGGAGACTCTGAAGAAAACATGTGGGGAGAAGAAAAATACATTGTAGATGATTGAATTTTCATATCAGGGGACTGAGAGATATCTAAAGGATTGGGTGTATTCGAAAATGTTAGGCAGTCTACTGAAGATGAATCCTCTTGAGAAAAATCACTGAGAGGGGAAAAACACATCGGTGGTGATTGGTAATCTTTAGACCATGATTGATCAGCTTCGTTTAATGTTTTTAAATGAAAACAAATACGACATTTTTCTGAGTCATCATTACCCTGACAATTATACCAGGTTGATCTAGATGTAACAGGCATTTGTTCTGTTGTGGTATCTGTAAAAAATGTTGAGAATTCATAAGGTGTTGGTATGTATGACTGCCAATCTAGTGATGAAAATTTAGAAAAATCAGATTGGGTTAAAGCTTCTTCTTCTTCTTGTTTGTCTTGATTGTTTATATTTTCTGTGTTTTTTGTTGATTCTGAATATTTCTTTGATTTGTTAGAAAATGAAAATAATATGGCTTTGGCAGATTCGGGAGGACTAGGGGATCCTGATGGTGATAATTCTGATAATCTGATGGATTCTGGTGTAGGAGGCATTTCTACAGATTTGGAAGACTCCATTGAAGTAGGAAGTTTAGGTAATTCTGTGGATGCTACAGTTTTTGGTGAATCTTCAATGAACATCGGTGATGAAGAAGGCTTTGGCCACCCTATTGAAGCCGGGAGGATAGGCAATTCTGGGGATGCAACAAATTTTGGAGAGTCCTCAAATAATGATTCAGACAACGGGGATAAACATGGTAAAGGTTTTAGTAACATATCATCATGCTTTAGGAACTCATCAAGTAATGGAGATGGTGGATAAAATGGCGATTCTGAAGATAGCAGAAATTCAGATGTTAGATCTGGTGCTTTTGAGGGTCCTGGAATAGCTAGGTAATCGAAAGCTTCCACAGATTTACATGTTGTCAGTATTGGTTGTTGAGATTTTGGTGACGTGCGTACTGGTAAACTGACAGATTTTGAGGAAATAGGAATATCTGGTGATTCCATTATATTTGGTGGTTCAATTCTACTTGAAGATTCAGGAAATTCAAAAGATGGAGACTCCAAATATGCTTGAGATACAGGTTTTGATAGTGATTTTGAGGATCCTGGCATAGCTAAACCCTTTAAAGACTCCTTAAGTTTAGATGATTTCATTCTTGATAATTTTTTAGCTCTATTATTGTCATAGATGTGGCTATCCATTTGCCACAGCTGAATAACATTATCTTGGGAAACTGAGCTTAAGAGCCAAGGCTCAGTTAAATTCCATGAGAAATCTAATATACTGTCTGAATGACCACCGTGAATAAATAGAAGTTCAGGAGGACCTTCCTTAGAACCTTCAAGAGTTTGATGAGCTCCAATTGAACTAATATCCCACAGTAAAAGTCTGGCATCAACCCCACTCGACGCTAGAATACTTTCATTGTTAGGAGACCAATGCAGCTGACATGTTTCAGCTTTATGCCAATAGATTTGATGACTTGGAGATTTCATTTTCCGTAGATCCCAAATAGCTATTGTTTGATCAGAGCTTCCAGTTGCTAACAAATGATCCGAAAAGTAGTTGAAAGATATGCAATTAACAGATGATGTGTGGCCTATTCCAGTTATTGCTGGCATCTTTGTGAAATCAGCTCTAATATCCCAAATATGAATATGTTTGCCTTTCCCAGTTGAACCGAACAGAGAAGAATGAAGGCAATGCCAAGCACAATCTTTGACACCTGATGGATGACCTCTGATAAATTTATTTAAACTACTGCCATCTTTAATGGGTTTAGAATTAATATCCCAAAGACGAATTGTGCGTTCATTAGTTGAAGAAGATACAATATATCCTTTCCGGTTTGGGTTCCAGGACATACCACTACCTCCAGCAGTTAACGCTTTTAATTTCAGTTCGGGATTGTATTTTTCTTTATTTTTAGCAGCTAAAAACATTTTCCTCACGTTATAGATATAAACAGTACCATTTGACGACTTAGTAGCTAAAACTGCTGGGTTTTGGGGCATGTATCTAGCACGATTCACGATACCTGGATGTTTTATTTTAATTCCCATTTTAATAAAACAAACAGGTGGACTTGGTTTTGATTGCATGTGGTCAATATGAGTTTTTAATCTTTTCTCACTAAATAAAGTAGTTGCAATTTTAAGATAATTATCTTCATTAGTATTAGAAGAACCAAGAACTAACCTTTGTTTAAGCCTCACTTTGCCAATCCTCTTTGAAGTTCGTACCCTGCTCCTTCCAAGACTAGGAAGCCACTGTACAGTACGAGATGGAGAAGTTAATTTATCACTAACGAAAATATCATAGAGCACTGAAAGGTTTTTCCTCCATGATTTATATTTCGTTTCAGAGATTAATGATGGATTGTTTATGGATTCCATTCTATGCTTCGAAAATCTTAAGGATAAAAACACTATAGAACACACAGTTAGCGCCTCTAAGCCAGTCAAACACTGCCAGTTAAACACTCAATGATGACCGCAGATAAGAGATGACATCAACTACTGGGAGTAAAATCGATCCAGCGTCTAAGTAATCGATAACATGCTTGATATTCACAAGTTTTAAGTTTTAGTTCAATGTTTTCATTGTAAGTGTTGAAAGAAAGGAAACTAACTGAACTAAATACCAAGTTAAAAAGATCCCAATACACTAAGAACCATCTCAGTCGATGGCTGCAACTACTATGACTGTGTATGGGCGAATGAGGCCTTTTATACTAAAAATTATATAAACTATGAACGCATTAAATATTAAAAGTAGTAAGTAAGCAGATCTGCTATAAAGTTAGTTCAGAAATATAAATGGGGACATAATATTTATATACGAATTCATCTAACTAAGCTGTTTTATTAATTGATAAACACAACAGTCTTTGTAAAGAAATCTAAACGTTCCGCTATACTCATGATTTGTTTATCTACCATTTAAATAATGAATGAAAGGAACTTGTAAATGATAAACATATGAATAAGCATAATGTAAGTAAATATCATAATTCTTCCAGCATATAATTTTAAATTATATTAAACATAATAGTATTTGATGAAAAAATCAAAACTTTTCCAATAGAGTTATTTAATTTTATTTTTATTCGAACACTTATAAATCATAGAAAGTAAAATCATTTACTCGAACTATCGTGATGATAATTCTTGCTTTGAAAACTTAGTTTTAAAAAAAGTAACTGGAAGATACAAATCTTAGACAAATTTAGACGATCTTTCTAAAGAATTTTATATCCAGGGTTTTATATATTTTATCATTTTCACAAATATATATATATATATATATATATTAGAACGGGTGTGAATGTTTGAGAGTCTTACTATAGACTTTTACAAAGTATTATATGAAAGAAAATCGAAAGAACTCAACAGACCACGACGCAATCATGTTCAATTTATTTATGATTGTAGGTCTATGAAATTAATCTTTAGCCACAGAAGAAAACAATTAAGAATAAAATAAAAACATCAAACACCAAATAATTGAAGGAATGTTAGGATTTTTGATATTTTTTCTATTTCCAGATGGGCATGGTGGACTTGTTGTGGACTTACATGTGTGAGCTTTGATATTTTGGTTTCAAAATAATGCCTAACGTCTTTATCGATTTGAGTGCTGCTTTACGTTCTATCGGTGTACAGAAAGATTATATATATATATATATATATATATATATATATATATATATATATATATATATATATATATATATATATGTATATATATATATATATGTATAGATATATTTTTTTTTAACGAAGGAGATGGTCCGGGGTGGCGTTCATAAATAAATTAAATAGTGGCAAAACTATTTTATAAGAAGCCAACGTTTCAACCCGGCTTTGCAGGTCTTCTTCTTCTTCTTGCAGGGCTAGTTAAATTAAGTGGAAAATAACTTATTTATTACATCTTATTATTTTTATCTATTTTCAATTGGTATTGATTAATTAAATTTAATCGTTTATTATTTTAAGTATTTCCGGTTTGTATGATCTCCATTTTATTTTTATTTTATATTTACATTCTACATCAATGTACGGTCATCCGTTTTTAATTTGTATTCATTTTAATTTTTAACCATTATGTCTCAATATTATCTAATATTTAAATGTAATTCTCTTACATATGTACAACTAAATATTATTATAATTATTCATATTTGTTTCCTGTCTATACTTCTAAATTAGTTCTGCAATGTATGACCTATTATTTTTATATTTATATTTTACTTCTATGTACGTTTTACTTCTTTCAATTTTGTTTTTATTTACATTGTACTTCTATCTATAATTTCTTAATTCTAATTTATATGTATATGTATATATTTATAAACTATTATTTCATAGATATAGTATTTTCCCTTATATCTAACCATATCATCAAATTTCAGAAACTGTAATTTTCCAGTTTTTTTTACTTTTACTACTTACCTCCTCACCATTACCCAACCAGGTCAGCAAATTCCTCAATACCTGCCCTTGCCTTGGTTTTGCAGTTCTAAGTGAAGCTCCTAGCTGAACACACCTATAAGTCTCTATTTTTATTTACTTATTTCTTTATTTTTGATTTTCTCCACACCCCTTTATGTCCATTATTTCATATATATTCTTTTTCCTTTTCTTTCAATCTCCTGTAGATCTGTAGGAGTATATTCACAATTGCATATATTATATATTATGCTACAACAATTTTTACCATCTATTTACTTTACTTTAGGACCTTGTTACTTAGCTTAATCTGTTTATATTTTAATATACTTACTGTTTATAATTTTAATAAGTTTATTCACATTGTTTTATATTTTTTTGTCTAAATATTATGTAACTTCCACAATTCTCTGTATCTTTTTGTATCTTGTCCGTTCTAGCCCTGAAGATGACCTGCAAAGTCGGGTCGAAACGTTGCCTTTAATAAAATGTTGCCACTATTAAGTCTATTTATGACCTCCACCCCGGACCATCACCTTTCTTAATAATGCAACGGTCAACTACAAAATATTCAATACATTTTTTTTTTATATAGTAACCATTAAGTAGGTTTCAAGTTTATCTAACCTTAATTAAATAATTATTTTATACCTAGTTAATAAGTTTTTTATTGAGAGTTCATATGTATCCAGTGATTTTATAATATTCATGTTCATCAATCATGTTCTTCCTTTCTAAAAATATGTGGTGTGACTTTGAGTCTGTTTTTAAATAATTACGAGATAGAGGAATAGAGTATATTTTATACGATTTTCTCCTTAAATTATTTTTTTTGATTATAGAATCGAAATACTGAAAAACCTTTCACCACTTCAAAATTTTGGAAAATAATTTTATAGGGATTTTACTTTTGATCCTTTGTGTTTTTTCTTAATACCATAATTTTGTTCATTAATGTGTAGCCTAATTTTTTTATCTCTGTATTTGGCACGTCCATCCATATATTCTATCATCATAATTCTCACATAAGTGTATAATGCAATATAAACTGGATTTAGCGATTGGATATAACATGGAAACTATATTTAAGATTTTACTCCTCACGTTTTCTTCTGAAGAAAAGAAGTAGGGATTAATCCTTCTCAGAAAATCACATGCATGGCAAAATGTGCAATTTTAAATGCAACAAAATATTTATAAAACTAAAACTAAACAGGAATATGTTCGATGGTTACGTTTTAACGACAGTGTCGTGGTTTGATGGTTTGATTGGTTATAACGGTATCGTAACTACATATTTTTTCATCATGTCAGAAAAGATGGAATTAAAATTTTTCTATTTTTAAACAAACCTGTAGTCATTTTTTTTTGTAGGATTGAAGTTATTTCATTATTTATTAGGTTTTAGAACTAATTAGAATATTTCTCTTTAACTTCCTACAAAATAAAAGAGATGTTCGCCACATATAAAATCAATCCCACTTTTGCTTTTAAACGACACTTAATGGTTTACTATACTATACTTAATGGTTTAAATTACTTGCAAGTATATGTTTATACTTTTATATATATTTATACTTTATATGTTCAGCATATGCTACTGTTTCCTCGACCGTATCTGTTATATTAAATTATTCCATTGTAGTATTATTATTAGTATTAGCCTGAACAGAAAAGGTTTTTAGATAATATTGTAGCGGCAACAGTTTCCGGCATAGTTTCCGCTCTTGCCACATGGTACATCAAGTTCACCTTCCCGCTACCAGGCAGAGCTCTACAAGCTCGCCCGTGCAACATACCAAAAATTGTATCTTTTATTTCTTATTGTTGTACTATAAATACTAATATAAAATACTTAAATTGTAAATTGAAATATGCATATTGATTGTAAATACTTTTTATTAATAAAGTTTAATGGCGATAACATATACTGACCAAAGCTCAAAATAACTGTTATAGTAACGGCTCTTTGTAGCCGGTTTAGTCTTGGCGAAATGAATACCATTAAGCAATGAAGACCTTTAAGTAAAGCATTGCTTTAATTAAAGCAATTAACGAAATGAAGACCTTTAAGCAGATGGTCAGTATATGTATCATATAAGCTTTTGGTTCACCTTAGTCTGCTCTTCTTATATCACGAAATATCCTTTTACCTTTATCCTCTTCTCTTACTCCACTAAGTCAGTAATTAATAATTGTAGTCCTACACTGAGTTAGGAGACTGATCTCTCCGTTAGTATCTCGTCATCCCACAAGCCCGGAGTTTGATCCCTCCGGTTGTGGTTACCATCCTTGTGGAGTGTTAAGCTTGATCTCCTACACCGCAGATCGAGAGTGATTGGGTGCTGATCCGACTGTCACTTAAGTTCATCCTTCTATTCATCTTCCTACATCCACTTAGTCATCTTATCCTTAAATTGAGCAACGCACTATCAAGGCCTTCTAGTAACATGCACACATTCTCTCTGCATATATACCTCGACAATATATTTTAATAACCAATTTATTGAATCAAGTTTGTTTCGATAATTGTGCTGCATATGATACTAATATACTATACTTTAATAATAGAGCAGTAACATTTATGAACAATTTGCTGTTTTTTAACCTTAAGATCGGCCTTCTGACGTCATATACCGAATTTTTTTCTT